AGTGCTAAAAAATCCCGCCCCACTATCCCATCTGACCTCCTGATTTACACTCACATCTCCCCTATTGCCTCTTCTTGCAAGGACTATCCTGAGCTTCTTTATCAGTACATGAATTACACCCCTTTTAGTCTCTGTCCAAGTGATGCGCTTTTAGCTGAGTCTCTTATCCTCCGCGGCTGCCACCCTCTCCCACGGCGGCGCTGCTTTTCAAGAACCACGAGCACCAACCCCAGTTCACTTCCTACAAGCCCTTTTGGCACCATCCCAGAAAACACAGTGATTTGGTCCCAGTATAGTAATTGCAAAAGCTTCACCTGCCTTGCAAGGTTCAACTCTGAAATGGGATTTGACATGAAAGTGGAAAAATCAAGATTTTTGGAGTATAAATCAGATCTGGATCTCCCAATTTCGCAGCTTTTGCAGGTTTCAAAGTCAGCAAAAAGTGTTATTAGGCTTGCACTTGATATTGGAGGTGGTACAGGGACATTTGCTGCTCAAATGAGGCTGCAAAATGTGACAGTTATAACCACCACTATGAATCTTGGGGCACCCTATAATGAGGCAGTTGCACTGAGGGGCTTGGTTCCATTGCATGTTCCACTTCAGCAGAGGCTGCCAGTGTTTGATGGAGTGGTGGATCTGGTGAGGTGTGGGCATGCTGTGAATAGGTGGATACCTGTGACTGCAATGGAATTCTTGTTTTTTGATGTTGATAGAGTGTTGAGGGGTGGAGGATACTTTTGGTTGGACCATTTCTTCAGTAAAAAAGTGGATCTTGAGAAGGTTTTTATGCCCTTGATTGGGAAGTTAGTGTACAAGAAGGTGAAATGGGCTGTCGCCAACAAGACTGATTCAAGTGGATTGAAGAATGGGGAGGTTTACTTGACTGCTCTGTTGCAGAAACCAGTCTCAAGATGAGATTTTCATTAGAGGTAACTCTTGTTTTCCTCAATCAACTACATCTCGTCATGATGTTCGTCACTCTTTATTCGATATTCTTGAGCTTGTGATCGTTTAATCTAAACAGATTTGGATATAGTCCTATATGATGTTGGAGAACTAGGCTAATAACTAGTGCTGTGTAATTTGACTAGGAAGTTAGTGAACTTACATGCTTTCCTCCTTAATATAGATCATCAATGCTGTTAAGCCTTCATCTGGATGATCTTCGGTGCAATATGCTGGATTGTGTTTGTTGTTCATAGATCAAATTGTTCACATAATGATTGAAGATCTAGTGGGATTGATTCATCTCCTGAGGTTCTCATGAACCTAAACGTTGTTCCTCAAGTAGAACTCTTAATTACTATATATACATCATTTCTCTCTGTTTCATTGATAACTTCTTTTATCAACTTCTAGCATAGATTTTTCTTTAATCTCCAAGACTCAATTCTTCAGAGGAGTCCTTGTTTGATATATATTGGACATGTTTAGAAATTCTAATGAGCTTTGCTTTACTTGCTTTCTTCTTCACTTGGAGAGCCATTGATTTCTACTCTCCTACTGGTCTCCATTTTCTTTCATGTCCTAGTGACCAAAATGAAGTATATAAACCTTTGGGTATAATGTCTCTGTAACAGAAGCGAATTGTGAACAGTTTCTTCTGTGTTTTGATAACTTAGGATTCCGTGTTTACGTGACTGGTACATCCAACTGCTACTTTAAGTCGTCGGGAATGCAATTTGAGACCTACATATATATTCACCATGCTTATGGAACTAACTCCATAACTTTGTCTAGCAACTATGCTCTCCATTTGATGGTTGTACTTTAGATCAAGCTGAACTAGATTAAACATCTTGTCTCCTCCTTAGGCCAATATCTGAAACCAAACGTATTGCATAATACGAGGGTCTAATGAGTTTAATGATACCCAATTATGCTGTATCCTTGCATAATTCTTGTGCTATCAGTGTCAGCTTTTCCATCCAAACACAAAATTCAAAGGTGCAAGCGCCTTCCGAAAATCCCAAGGTGATGGCTTTATCTCATTCTAGCAAGGAGAAGTCTACAGAAATCACTACTCGTAGTTTTGTTCAACTTCTACAAAATGTGCTTTTTCCATTTTTAATTCGTTCCAAAACATGGAACAGCTCCTACTATGCTCATGTGAAGATAATTTACCATAACATGTTAACATGTTATAAAGGACAAACTTCTATCTGTAGTATGCTTGAGTTTATCAGTTCGATAAATGGAGAATCAAGCAGTTAAAGTGACCTCAAACTAATCATGAAAATGAGGATGTACATGAAAAGAGAAGCCCCATATAGATATATATATATATATAGAGATAGATAGATAGAACCAGAGTGTATCAAGTATTTTGGTGTACTAAAGAGTAGTTCAATCAGGTAGTACATGTTCACTTTTCCATCGATCCATAAACTGCTGGTAACAGGCATAGTGAGAACTGTGAATTGCAGGTCTTGTTTTTCCGCTCCTGAACTTTCTGTGTAACCAAATCCCACCTAACTTGGAACTGTTGCTTGATGGTCCTCCAGGATGCTACTACTAGCTGACTAATTACTGGCAGAGACCCCTTGTGAGCTGATGATCAATGCAATCACAAGCTGCTTCTATTCACATCAAGAAGGATCAAGCTTTTAGCAATTGCTAATTGACCGAAGGGCTTTCAACAGCTGGAAAACAATCCGACAGCTAAAAGCAGTTTAAAAGGCATGATGTTACGGGATAAAAGAGTTCGAGGGGTTGTTGCTTATTAGTTCATTCGAGTTTCTTGTATCATTATGCAATAGTATCATACAGTAATTACACCCAATGTATTTGTATTTATTAGTTTTGTAGACTGAAATAGGTTCTTCAAAAATGAATGCTAAGTCCATGACATAATGAACTGAAAGAAGAAACTTCAAAAGCATGATGCTTTTTTCAAGAGATCCATACCCCACCAACCTTATCCTAATTGGACTGAACAAGAGCCAGGCCGTCCTATGGCCATGTTGGTCCGTTTTGGCATCTCAGAGATAGTAACAACTTCAATGATGATACAAACACCATAAAACGGCCCCTGAATTGAAGCACCTACAATCCTATCATCCATATATGTCAGACATAGGCAGTTAGAATGCATGCATTAATAATGATATTCATTTGGTTTGCCATAAGGGATAATTTCACAAACCTCCCCTGAGGTTTCTGACACTTGCACTGAGATCCCTTCAGGTTTTAAAAATTTCACCTAGTTTCCCTGGCAGAGTGTTAGGGTCAATTGCTGACATGCAGAGCGCTGAAATGACCAATTTGTCCTCAGAGTTTGGTTTAGATGACTGACATTAACTAAATACACAAATGCATCTTCACATTGGTAATTACATTTAACTAGAATAACAGAAATTTAATGGCTAATGAAGGTGATTAAAAAACCATTACTCCTAGGCGGCAATAGAAGAAACAATTTGGCACCAATTTCTGATTATGAGTGACGTGACAAGGTTGATTGAACAGATGTATCTTGCTTTGTAGCTACAAACCTCAAAATGCAGATGTCTTTTGGCTAAATATTTAGAAACGAGACAATGAAGAAGGTAGTGGAATTCAAGTGAAGCTATCTTCATCTGGTGGAAATAAAGCTTCTTAAAAGTAGAAACTAAGGTACCAATTTCCATTTTCTTGATGCAATACTGTAATGTAGTGTTGTAATGAATCAGTTTGTTAAAAAATTGCATCTGCTGGAGTAGTTTTTTGCTTGATCAGTAGATGTGTCAGCTGATGAGACTTGAAATTTCATGCACGATGGATGTATGCTGATGTTTTCTGAAAATTTCATTTGTTTCTGTTAAAAATGTGCATGCTATGCATTAGCAAAGTAAACTGTGTTGATATTAATAGTACCAGTATAGCTAGCAACTAGTGCATATCAACTTACTATGCCCTTTTTTCGGGTTCTGTACTGTAATGATGACCCTGTTCTAATGAATCAGTTTGTTATGGAATTCCATGTTATGGAGTAGTTTTTTGCTTGCCTACTAATATACATCATCTTCGGATTCTTGAACTTTCTGTAATGCTGATGTATGCTGATCTCTAATGTTTTGAATTCTAATATTTTCTAGAAATTTCATGTGTTTCTGTAAAAATTTAAAGGCATGAAGCATGCACTTTTATTTATGAATCACTTTGCATCCAAATCTGAAAATATAAGATGGGGACTCTTGCTGCTGCATATGACATTGTTGTTCACTGTAATGCAAACAAAATCAGGATTCAAAATGTTGATCCAAGTGGCTATTCATACATTAACTCGTTGTTTGATGTAACTGAAAAGACATTGAACAAAATCCCTGGCAATGTTAACATGATTATGCAGATGAGATGTGAAATTCCTGGAAAAAACAAGTACTTGATGGATGTTAATGATAACTATTCAGTTAGTGAGATGTTCAAAATACATCAATCTAAACCAGTGATAAACTTGCATGTCTCTGATATGGATTATCCCTGCTGATGAAGAGAATAGCTTAGTAAATCCAACTACTATGAACATGCAAGATACTTTGCTCATTACACAGAATAACAAGACAGTAGGTGTAGAGGTTGATACTTCAGATGATGACTATGGAAACTCTAGCTCTAATTCTTCATGGAGACACAATCTGGATAGTGACAATGAGGATGAAGTAGCTCTAGATAAGGTCTCAAATGATGACAGTGAGGATAGTGATACTAATTTTTCTGATTTTGAAGACATTAAAGCAGAAATTATGGTTCCTGATTCTAAAAGTGAGGAAGAGGATGACCCTATGAGACAATTAATGAGATCAAAGATGTGCATTTACAATCCTAAAGATGAGATAGGGTTTGAGAAGGGTCAATTATTCACGAATGTGGATGCATTTATGGCTGTCTTGAAAGATTATGTTATTCAAAAATGCTTTCCACTTCTGAGATTGAAAAATGAGAGATCTAGAGTGACTGCTATCTGTGTTGCTGAGGGATGCTAGTGGAAAATACATGCATCACCAGTGGCTGATAATATGACTTTTCAGATTAAAAGTTACCAACCACAGCACACTTGTGTGATGGTTAAAAACTGTGCTAAAGCCACATCTGACTGGATGGTCAAAAAGCTGGTTGGTGTCATGAGAGATCATCCTAATATGACCAGCAAAGGTGTAGAGGCAGAGTTGAGGAAGTATGGTGTGAAGCCAACTAAAATACAGATTTTCAGAGCTAAGAACAAAGCACTTGTTGAAATAGAAGGCACACATGCTGAATCTTATTCTAAACTTCCAAAATATGCTGAACTGTTACGGAACAATAATCCCAACAGCATTTGTAAAATACATTATGATAGGCCAAATCTTTTAGTTGAGCCTAAATTTTGAGAATATTCATTAGCTTTAGAGCTCAAAAGCTGGGATTCCTAGAAGATTGTAGGCCTTTTGTGGGATTTGATGGATGTTTCTTGAAGGGGCCATTTGGAGGTGTGCTTATGACAGCAGTTGCTTTGGATGCAAACAATAGTGTATTTCTAATAGTATTTGCTGTAACTGAATGTGAGAACAAGGATACTTGGAGGTGATTCTTCTACTACTTTCAAGAGTTCTTTGGACTATTTGACAACAACATCCCTTTAACTTTCATGAGTGATAGGCAAAAGGTACAAACACTGTGCTGAATCAATCCTTCAGGATACTAATCAAAATTCTGTTGGTAACTTATAATTTTATATTGCAGGGATTGAATCTTGCTTATGAGGAGATATTTCCTGATGCAATTGGACGGCATTGTTATGGGCATATATACAGCAATTTCAAGTCTCAATTTCCAAGTATATTACATAGAAGTTTCTTTTGGAAGGTAGCAAAAAGTTATGATGTTGTTGGCTATAATGAACCAATGGCAAGTATTAAAGATATTAACAGAGAGGCTTGGAAATATCTGGATAAAATTCCAAAAAGTTTCTGGTGTAGGCATGTTTTCTCACCTCAATTTAAGTGTGATCATGTCACAAATAATATCATTGAATCCTTTAATAATTGGGTTAGTGATCTTAGAGGAAAGCTTATACTGACATTAGTGGATGGTTTGAGGAGAAAGTTCATGAAAAACCTGCACAAGAGATACCAGAAAGGTTGCACCTTGACTGCTAATATCACTCCTAGAATTGCTGAGAAACTCACAGAAATTAGCCAAGCATCAAGAAAATGTGAGATGTATATGGCTAGTGAAGACACATTCGAGATTGGTGATCTGGATAGAAGCTACATAGTTGTTCTGAGCAAGAAGTTTTGTGATTGTGGTGTTTTTCAGATATCTAGAATTCCATGTAAACATGCAGCACTAGGAATTATGTACAGGAGAGAAAAATTGGAACATTACTATGAAGCTTGGTTCACAAAAGACATGTATTTGAAGGCATACTCTGCAATGATTCATCCTATTCCTGATGTGAAGAGATGGCTAGCTATGCCTGATTTGCTCCCAAAAACTGTGTTGCCACCTCCTTTGCGAAGAGCTCCTGGTAGACCAAGAGTAAATCAAAGAAGGGAAGCTGATAAGGGAGCTTCTTCTTCACAACCAAAAAGGTCAAGTACTCTCAAGTGTAGAAATTGTGGAGCTGCAGGTCATAATAAGAGGGCCTACAAAGGACCACCTGTTCAAAAAAGGACTGCAAACAGAACCCCTACTGAACTGGTAGAAGTATTGCAAAGTCATTACTGAACTGCATATTCTATTTCATTGGTCTTTGTTATGTGTTAACTATTACTCACAACTCATTTGATGGTGTTTTGATAGATGACAAATAGAAGAGACAGACCAGGCAGAGGAATGGCCAGCACAAGCTTATTAGGAGCTGTTCTTCGGGTAAACCGCTGCCAGTATTATGTTTCATTCATTGTCTACTAGAATTATGTATGCAGAGGTTTCCAGAGCCTTACAAATACTCTCATTTTACGGGATCATGCAGAAGGAAATGTACCTATAGTTCATTCCAATCAAGGGAGCAATCCTAGTCCTACTGATCATAATGGAGGTGTTAACGTGTAGAAGTTTGTCAAACTACTGCTACAGTAACTAACAAAAAGGTGTTAACTTGTATAGTATAGTTTGTCTAAGAGAATTACAAGTTCTGCAATACAATTTTTGCTTTGAACTTCACTTTCATGCTATTATGTTTATAGAGAGGAAGGCCTGCTTCAAACAATCCTTCTACTTCAACAGTCAGAGCTGCTCCAATCCTTAGGTGCCAGTTCACTTGACTTCTGAATCTACAAATGCTACATCTGTTAGCATGAATGCACCAGTAAATGTGAACTCCAATAGCATTAGCAGTACCAGCACTTTCAGCAACTGGTTTTGAGTTGCCAGTTCAGACTAGTTAGCATGCAATGATTAGCTTAGCTTCTCTCAAATTCGCAACTGCTATATGGAAAAGTACCAGAAGTTAGAACTGCTGAAATGTTTTGTTAATGGAAGCTAACACTCTCTTACAATATTAGTGGTGAAATTCTCACCATCTGCTATAGAAACTGTCTTGGTAGATGGTGTTTGTACTTGTGGATTGCATGATGAAAATGTTATATGTACTACGGATATGATTACTGCATTTTAGCATGTGTAACGTCACTACTGCTATTATTCACGAGCTATTGTCAAACTGCATACTAGTGATATTCATTACCTCATACAATGACTGTAAACTGCTGCATACATGAATTTTACATTGATTTATGTAGCATTCTAACTGACATAGCCTTCTAGTTTCATTTGGCTTTTACCAGAAAAGGCATACTACAACTGCTACATTGTTGCAGCAGATTTACATGAAATCAACCAATTGATTTTACTATTTGAATGAAAATAAATATAGCTAACCGTAGCATATTGGTGATGAGCAGCACGTTTCCTAAGACGCTTGGAGCTAGAAATTGTCTTTGCAGTTCCACGGCAACATCAGATTGCCTTTTTGAAATGCCAAGCACTCTAGCTCTGCTAATATCCCTTTCCCAGTTTGTGTCTTGGTTGCTTCTTCTGCTATTAACTTTTTCTTCTTCTCCTCCATCATACCATTTGAAATATTTGCATTTTGAGCAGCAGAAATACAATTTGTCCGGATTCTTTTCGCTCTCTGATATCTTCACTGTGGCCTTGCGATTGTAGTAGCAATATCTGTTCTTAATAATGACAGTTGTGGGTGAATTCCAGGATTTTGCTAGTTGGCTTGAAGAGGCCATTGAATCTGCTAAATGTTTTCAGCTTAGCCTTCTATTAATGCTTCTCACGATCTTTTGGTTTGAGGATAAAATGCGCTTTCCAGATGTTTATATGCAGTTAGAGGTTTCCAATTTTTTGGTCGTTGGAATATTGCAGGTTGCTGTTGGCTATTCCTGTCAGCTACTGAAGATGTCTCCATGTAACAAAAAAAAATTTCCTGAATTGCATTTATACCCTTTTAACTTTGATAATCATCTCTAGTACTAATATAGGGAGGAAGAGGGTATTTATGGAATCTAAATCTCATTTCCATCATGATAGTAATATTTTAATCTTAATTGGACTGAATTGTTACCAAAATTTGAAAAGTAAGGGAGCTAGGTAAAATTTTAAAACTTGGAGGGGTCTTAGTGCAAGTGTCAGAAACCTCAAGGGAGGTTTGTGAAATTATCCCTTGCCATAAATTGAAAACAGTGAACACATCAATTGGTCCATGACTAGCATAGAATTAAATGAATTGCATTCCGTACCATACGGATTAGCAATCCTAAAAGCAAGTGGTCTTATTATTATGATTTGGTGCTCTTCTGAGTTCATTTGACAGCATGTCAATCTTGTCACTTTCATTGACTGGTTAAAAGAAAAATAAGCTAACACCTGATTGAATGGTAATGTTTTTTAGGCAAAATTCCAGAAATAATGTGATTGAGAGAAAAAGTCCGAGAAATGGTGTTGTACGGGAATGTTTGATAATTGAAGGATCGCCACAAATGCCATTATCGGCTATTGAAAAAATCAATTTTCTTTTGCAATTGAGAAGGAAAATTTTGTTTTCATTTTTTTTAATAGGCTATGCCGCATGCAAAATATCTACATAGCTGCATGCCATAGTGCATGTGGCGACCTTTTTAAGACCAAAATTTTTTTATTTTTACTTTTTAATAGCTGCATGCACTATTTTTACTTTTTATTTACTTTTTAATATGTGCATGTGGCTAAGACCAATTTTTCTATTTCTTTTATGAAACCCTATGCTAAGACCAATTTTTTTTATTTTTTTATGAAACCGTAAAGTATAATAACTAAACCCTAGAGCTTAATTCCAAATTTATAAATCGTAAATCCTACTTTATAAAACATAAACCCTAATTTATAAACCCTAAATCCAATTTATAAATCTTAAACTCTAATTTATAAATTCTAAATCCAAATTAATAAATTTTAAATACTAATTTATAAAGCTGAAATCCTAATTCATAAAACTTGAACCTTAATTTATAAACCCTAATCGTAATTTATAAACCCTTAGTCCAAATTGATGAATCGAAAACCCTAATTTATAAACCCTAAATCCAAATTTGTAAATCTTAAACTCTAATTTATAAAGTCAAAATCCTAATTTATAAACCCTAAATCCAAATTAATAAATGCTAATTTATAAAGTTGAAATCCTAATTCATAAAACTTGAACCGTAATGTATAAACCGTAAATCATAATTTATAAACCCTTAATCCGAATTCATAAATCAAAAACCCTAATTTATAAAGACTTGAACCCTAATTTTTATAAACCCTAAACCCAAATTTATGAATTTTAAACTCTAATTTATAAAGTCAAAATCCTAATTTATAAACCCTAAATCCAAATTAATAAATCTTAAAAACTAATTTATAAAGTTGAAATCCTAATTCATAAAACTTGAACCCTAATTTATAAACCCTAAATTGTAATTTATCATCGTAAATGTAAACCCTAATTTTTAAAGTACCATAAATAATGTAGCATCAATATAATAAATGTTAAATGCAGCAAAGTGAAAAATATTATCATTGTTTAAAGTTTGAAATTGCTAATGAATGCTACAAATTGTAATCACCCATGAATGTGTCTCTTGCCCCTATCATGCAGGGTGGTAGAGCAACCGCATCTCCAATACACTTTCCAGTGTGGCAAATCATGTTGCAACTGTAGCTGCTCAGACCTCCTAAGTAGTGCTTCGGGTATTTGTTCGTCCTCATCATCATCGGAAGTGTCCACCATAGGAGTCTGACCGCATCTCGGACAGGAAGAAATTGTAGAAGTACTGGAAGGGTCTTGATGCGGAACGGTGTCTGCATATGTCTAGAAAACTAGTGAAAAACCCATTGAGGACCCTAAGAAGTCGTAGATATGATCAAGGTTTTTACCGAAATCATTATTCATCCCAAATGACATATGTGGCCTAACAGAGGATGAACCGGCACCTGTCATATAGTTGAATCCCGATAAGGCAGTAGGTGTCATATTTGAATGACTTCCAAAAGCAGGCACACATGGAGGGGGTATAGACGATCCGGGATGGGAAAATTGAGTGACAACATTAAGGTCGTATTGGGAATGTGATGAAGCATGAGGAGTCTGTGTAACAGGAACATCATCATCACATAATGAGGTAGCCCTCCTACGACACCTTCCTCCCTGATTCCTACTACACACTTGTCTGGGTAGATGCTCGACAGGCATTCCGAAAGGTGCAGCGCGAGAAGTAGATGTACCAACATCGTGACGGTCAAAAGGTCCAACTACAGTCTGAATTCCCTGGTTCAAGTATTGTAATGTTCTGAATGCCTCCTTTCTAATCAAAGTTAGGCCGGGATGAGCACACTGAGCAGGGTTCGCAGGATCAAGGTATCTATTGCAAATTGATCCTATTCATGATGCAATATCAACCTGTTGAAAATAGGAAATGTTCATTGTAGTTATAACATATGTTAATTAGGAGAAAATAAATATGTGCTTAGAAAAAAAAAAGCTAAAATGATAACTAATTACCAAGAGGTCAAACTATCCCCCATCTCTTCGATGACTGTCACGGCGAGGCAGCTGCGAAACAGGAGGTGATATATAGCGGACTATCCGATTATGGTACCATGTCATGTAGTCATCCATAGATTCGTTGGGATCGCGACGAGTGTCCCGAACATATGTGTTATACCCATCCTTTCCAGGTCGTCCAGATCGATATAAAGAATACAGTTTCTTGTCACAGTCGGTGGCAACCATATCTGGTATAGGTTGATGCATCCCAAATTGTCGTAGCACACGCTACGGAAAGTGAAATTCAACTGCCTCCCAATATATCAACGGAATGATAGACTGCCATACATGTTGTCTTGTGAAGACTCGCAAAATTTATTTATTTTAAATTCCTAATTTCTAGTTCATTTAATTATTTAATTGGCCATTTGCCCTGAATAATATTTTCTAGGCTCCTTAGACCTAATTACATGGGTTTATAACTCAATTATATTTTTAAAGTGGCTTGTTGCAAAATTTAATTTTTGAAAGCTCGTTAAATGAAAATAGTGAATACGCGATTGGAGTCAATAATCGATTCGAGAATACAGTAAGCTTGAAAAATTGGAGACTTGTACAATAGTCCTAAATAGGAAGTACGCGTTTTACGAACACGATTAATTGAGGGACTTTAGACCATTATTTTTAGACCCATAAGAGTGGATAATAATAATATAAATGGAAGTGCATTAAAGGTTTAGTGCACTAGTGAAACAAACTCGAGTAGAATCGAGCACGAAACGCGCTCGTACGCGCACTATTCCTAGTTGACTTTTGAATCAACTTTTGGCCACAAATTTTAAAGCTTCTCACGGAAGCTTACCATCAGCCCATCTCTTCTTTTCTCTGCTTCAAACAGCCGGCCAAGGAGGAAGAAAAAGACAGCTCCAAATTCTCCTCATTTCACCATTTAATCTTCACCAAATCGCACCAAACCTTAACCACACTTAACTAATCACTTGGAGATTGCATCAAGCTAGGAAAGAGGGCTGCTTTC